ATTGAAATATTGAAAATCATATTGAAATATTGAAAATCATATTGAAATATTGAAAATCATATTGAAATATTGAAAATCATATTGAAATATTGAAAATCATATTGAAATATTGAAAATCATATTGAAATATTGAAAATCATATTGAAATATTGAAAATCATATTGAAATATTGAAAATCATATTGAAATATTGAAAATCATATTGAAATATTGAAATTTGAAAATCATGTTGCTCGGGGAAATAGGTAATCATCACAGTCAGTTTTTTAAGCAGACGATCCATAACAGCATAAGGAAAAGATTTGCTCGTTGCGAATGTTTCAAATAATGCTATTTTGATAGTAAAACTGATCAAAATTAATTTTTATTATTTTTCTTTTCCAAAAAAAAAAAGCAATGAGCGAAGAGGTGAAGCAGATGGTTTCTCTAATAGGATTAATAATTCATCATAGGCAAGAATAAGTGAAACGTCTTAGGTACAGAAACCAGGCAGCTATTCAATCACATAAAGACGTATTTCATTATTTCGTTTCTGATTTCAACTTCCCGTCATTTCAATAACTTCCCGTCGGCGTCGACTACCGCTTGTTTGCATAACATATTTTCACAAAACAACTGCTTAGGACCTATTAGGGAAGCAGGTAACAATCAGTGACGTAAGCTGCCGGCTTGAAAGTACGTTTCGACATGGAAAAATCATTGGTTGATGTCCAATTTCTGCAAAAACAGAGGGGAAAACTCTATAACACAGCAGACTGTGGAATGTAATAGCAACTTCATGAAAGTGGTGAATGAAAAAAATTGCAACCAGAAAGACAGAGAAATATTTAAAAATATTAAAGGCAAGGTTATGCAATACTTTGGCGACTTAATTAAGCCATTATCGGAATAGAAAAGAGAAAAAAAGATAAACAAATACTCAATTCATTGTATGATAAAGAGTTCCAGAAAATTCATTGGCATTTTCTGCATTGTTATGAACTTGTATTCCCACTGCTTTTGTTATATCTGAAAATACGCCATTCATCACTTGCTTCATTAAGAAATATGAATGAGTTCCTTATAAAATGGTAGAAAGGAACATGTATCCAATTAGAACATTTTAAACCTTGCCGATAGCGAAATACAAATGATTAAGAGAAATTGGTGTTGAAACAAAATGATCTCAGGTTAGCATTGTTACATACAATAATGAGCGTTGTCACGAATGGTGCTGTTAACAATGTATCCCGCAGTAATTCTAGTTTGTCGTTGAGTCGTGCGTTATGGTGCGTTTTCCACTTCGAAATCTGTTTTAAACGACTGACCCTGTGCGATGCTGATTATTGCAGCTTTCAAAGTAATCAGATTTTGGGGAAATTTCCTTGGCGCGAGCAACATGTGACTATCCGTACTAACAGCATTGTAATTTAGGTTCTCACTTCATAATTTCACAAACTATAGAGGTTTCTCGCATGACGTCACGTTTCCATAGAAACGCATTGACGACTATTCTGGTTTACAATACTAGAAACTATCCTTACTATCTACTATTACCATCCTTTTAAACAAATCTTAGCTGTGCACCATTATTTTTATTTCTCAGATATCGGTCATTGTTACCGTAATCTTTGCCAAAACGGTGCAACTTGTACTGTATGGCTGGCTACTATGGCAAGAACTGTTCTCTATGTATGATAGATTATGTCTGCTATCTTTCAACGTAGTTAGGATAGACTAAAGCAAAACTGCAATCCGAATGGGATCTCTTATGTGGATTAATAAACGAAAAATAGATGATTTCTATGCCCAGCCCTTTTAATTTACACCCTCAAGAACGTCGTATTTCGACTATCTCTGTTATCTGCGTACTATTCGTCGTTATCCATCAAAAATGTTAGATGATGTCATGCAAATAAAAGGCGTCAGTCCCTGTTTACTCTGTGATTTCTTTCCCTCATTACTGATCCACGGAAGACAAGAATTATTACCCAGCTCAACGAATTTAACAAAATTAGCTACTCAACATTATGACTTACAATTGTTAATCGCTGCATTTTTCACAGGTTATTGTGATCCTAACCCTTGCCAGAACGGCGGAACCTGTTCACTGGAAGGAGACACCTATAGCTGTGGCTGTGCCGCTGGCTACAATGGTAGAAACTGCACGACAAGTAAGTCAGTTTCTCTATAGAGTTGTGGCTGACTAATGCGTAAAAGGTAGCAATAAGATCTTCCATAAGTCTCTTTAATTCAATGCTGGTAGAGCTGCATTTCTGCATTTCTTTGCAATCCCTTTTAAACAAATCTTAGCTGTGCACCATTATTTTTTATTTCTCAGATATCGGTCATTGTTATCGTAATCTTTCCCAAACCGGTACAACTTGTACTGTATAGCTGGCTACTATGGCAAGAACTGTTCTCAATGTATGATAGATTATGTCTGCTCTCTTCCAACGTAGTTACGATAGACTAAAGCAAAACTGCAATCCGAATGTGATCTCTTAGGTGGATTAATAAACGAAAAATAGATGATTTCTATGCCCAGCCCTTTTAATTTACACCCTCAAGAACGTTGTATTTCGACTATCTCTGTTATCTGCGTACTATTCGTCGTTATCCATCAAAAATGTTAGATGATGTCATGCAAATAAAAAGCATAATTCCTCCTGTGTTCTGTAATTTCTTACGCTCATTAGTGATCCACGGAAGACTAGAATTATGGCCCAGCTCAAAGAATTTACGTAAATCAGCTACTCAGCGTTATCACTTCCCGTTGTTAAACATTGCATTTTTTACAGGTAATTGTGATTCTAACCCTTGCCAGAACGGCGGAACCTGTTCACTGCATTACGATACCTATAGCTGTGCCTGTCCCGCTGGCTTCAATGGTACAAACTGCACAAGTAAGGCGGTTTCTCAATAGAGTTGTAGCTGCCTAAGGCGTAAAAGGCAGTAATAACATCTTACATAAATCTCTTGTATTCCGATCCTGGTATAGCTGCATTTCCTACATTTCTTTGCAATGCCTTTTAGACAAATCTCAGCTGTGCACCATTTTTTTCTATTTTTTAGATATCGATCATTGTTATCCTACATAGTTGATCCTTGCTATAATACCAATCCATGTGAAAACGACGGGCAGTGTTTTGTGGATGATAACCACCAGTTCTTCTGTGTCTGTCCAATTCCTAAAGCCTACGAAGGAAGAAATTGCAGTAAACCAGGTAAGATATGAGAGTTCTTTCCTCTCATCATCTTTTCCATTCGTCGTGTTTCTCGCCGTCGATATCGAGCTTTGTTCAAGGCCCTCAACCAAAAAAATGGGAAGCAACGCGTGTTATTACGACTTTAAGACAATATTTCAATGATCTAAGCATGTAACAGCTTAAATAACGCATTGCATGAGGCCACATCTCATGATCTAGTGGTGGGAGATGAAGAGGCCTTATTGCCAACGCGCCGAGCACTACATGGGAAGGATCCAAGTCTTGATCGGAGGTAATGTTGCGTTGTGTTCTTTGGCACCCATCTCCTCTCAGAAGATTAGACCGTTACGATAAAACTCTTCTTCGTGGAAAGTTGCTAAGTGGCTGAGGAAACGTGGTAAGGTGACACCGTCCCAGAGGAGTTAGCAATATGTCCCTTTATGCTAAATGTAAGTTATCCTCCAGCCACAGTGTTTGCCACTTCAAGCTCCGAGAATTTTATCCCCTTAACTAATCTCGCGTACAATTTTTCACACAGTTGACTGTTTCTGGAATAAAATGTATCCTTTCGGAAAAGAACAGAACGACACGGAGATGGATGTGAGACTGATCCGCGACGAGCTGTGTACGGAAATAGTTTACGACTATGGTATCTGGTTCTTTGACGACAAACATTACGTCCTGTATGTAAGTATCATGGCTTATTCCAGCCTATGCTAAAGAGGTGAAGTCGTAATTTAAAATCAACAATTCAGAGAGCCTCGTCGTTACGAATGAGATTTTTTTTTTTTTTGGCGCCTATAAAATTTAGCGTAAAGGAGATTTTTGAAAATCGCTTTAAGCTAGATCAGAAATCACAAAGTAGAAAGCAGACAAGAAGAACCGACAGGAAATCACAAACCATAAATCCTAAGTTAAATTTTGCAAGGTGCAGCAAAGGATACGATGGAACCTTTACTCAGGGAACAAGGTAATCTGTCCTTCCTGTGGACCGGGGAATGCCTTATCAGAGGAGATGACAGAAATAGAAGCCTTTTGAAATAGTAACTTTTTACTTGCTTTTTTAAAACGTCCAGCAGTTTTACAAACCTTTTAGAACCATTTTCATCAGCCTTTTGGGGGTTTTTAACACTAATAGGCAAAAAAGAATTTCCACCTTTCTTTATATGAATCCAAAACTAATTATATTTTTACATTTTTTTTTTTTTTTAGATTTGTGCCAATGGAATGATTCGCTTTGATGTAGGCTACGCGAGGCACTTCCCAGTTCCAACCTTTGACACCGAAGAATTCCCGTTCAGAGTCCCAATGTTGTTCCCCTTCTGGTCAAAAATTGACCTCTTCGATTCATTTTGTTCGAGTGAGCAAGACTGCCTTTCGGGCAACATAGATTACGAAAACCGTTCCGCTGTATTCTACAAAGTTTACATGGAAGATAAAGGTGTAATGAATGCATCTCATATTCTATACAAAGCTAGTAAGGACGTCAGAGAAAACTCGGACGACCCGAAGTTCGATTCCTTCACAGCTTCGTGGGTACTCGTGGTGACATGGTTGCGCCTTCGTCCGGAAGAGGAATTAGAGGGAGATGCCGAAGAAGGGGTTGTAAGTCTTTTAGGGATACCTATACCGTTCTTTAAACTGGAATAATTCTTTCAGCTATCCTCTATTCCCTCTTTCCAACAGGTTGTCAATGCGAACGCTTTTCGGTCGTATCC